TATTTTATTGAGTTTTTACAGAGAGGAAGGGAGAGAGATAGTTAGAAACATCAATGAGAGAGAAACATCGTCAGCTGCCTCCTGCACACCTCCTACTGGGGATGTGCCCGCAACCCTGGTACATGCCCTTGACCGGAATCGAACCTGGGACCCTTCAGTCCACAGGTCGACGTTATATCCACTGAGCCAAACTGGTTTCTGCAATTTTACCCTCTTAACCTCAGTCATGAGGTGGTATAAAACTAGAAGCTCTGTATTTAACTTATATATGGAAAGTTGTTGAAAGAGTAGAGTTCTGTTTTCTGAGTGTTATTTGAATATATAAAAAATTCTGTGTTGAGTGACTTCCTTATTTTTCATCCAGATCCTATTCCTGGAGGCTGTAATTTGGAATTTGATTTAGATATTGACCCCAACATTTACTTGGAGTATGATTTCTTTGAAACAACTATCAAATTTGCCCCAGCAAACCTAGGCTATGCAAGGTATGTCTGCCTCTTAGAATTACTTTTAGAACATGTATGACTAGATTCAATGAACTCTCTCAAAAGTCATCCTTCTCTTTAGTAAAATGGAATTGTTTAGTTTTTTTGAATGAAAGTAATTCATACATTGTAACTAATACTTGAGCTGCCATTTACAGTTAATATTGCCCCCCTCAGTGTGTATGAAAGACCAGATGTTGAATGTCTTTTATGAGCGTAGAAGTACATCTTAGTTTTCATAAAGAGTTTTATATATGGAAAGCCTTTTGGAGCCTTGAAATATACTTTTTTTTGCTAAGGATTTTATTTTAATTAAAACTCTGCATTAGTTTCTAGTTTAATAATAAGGATAGCTAATGTTTGAGTAACATTTGAATGCTCTCTGTGCATCACCCACAGTGCTGAGTGTCCTATGTTCTTTATCATTTAATTCTAACACTTTTATCAAGACGGGGCAATTGTTCTTATTTTATAAAAAGGTTCCCTAAGGGTCTTTGAGAGTAAGTGACTTGCCTACTTACCAGTACAGCTAACAACTGGCAAAGCTAGCATTTGACTTTAGGCCTGCCTGACATTAACATCTGGTTATATAACCATACTGCCTGTTAGTGAGTTTTTTTCCTTCGTAATGCCAACATTGGAATCATTGTTTCAGAAGTTTGAAATTTGAGCTTTTGGTTCCTTTTTATAGATGGGACTTCCCGCACAAGAGATTGATACTCAGTTTTGTTGGTTGACTTTAGAGGCACAGATTCTCCGCCATGTGACACGAGGACGGGGCAGGATTCTAGGTGGAGGTTGCAGTATGACGTCTATCAGTATTTTCTGCCTGAGAATGACCTCACTGAAGAGGGGTTGCTGAAGCATCTGCAGAGCATGGCCGAAGTGCCTCAGGTGATGGCCAATGCTATTAAGGTAAATCTGATTCTCTGCTTTGAGTAGCCAGATTTCGACACCTTCTAGGAGTTGAGTAGGGGAGAAGCTACCAGTAGCTTATTTTTTTACTGTTTCCTTGGTGTTTCTGGGATTTGCACTTTATTCTCTTTTATTTTGTTTATTATCTTGGGAGTCTTTGCAAGTGATATCTCAAAGTAATGTTGGCCTTTAAAGAGATGCATGTAAATTATGTTACATTTTAGTTGCAGCCACATATATGACCTGGTAATCTCGAGATGTGGATGGAAGTGGGTGGTGATTTTCTATGTACTCCTGTACCTATTAGATTAAAACTTTTGGCAAATACAAAGGTTATAGTGTTGTGAGAAACTGTTTAAGGATATACTCATTGGCATTAATATTTAAACCCAAACTCCAAATCTCTTACTTGGAGAAAAATTTTCTTTGAGTTGTTGCCAGAAGGCTGAGAGACTACCAGATTATATAGAAAGAGGTGATGGAAACAGGGCATATGTGGTTAGTCTAGAGCAGTGGTTCTCAACCTTCTGGCCCTTTAAATACAGTTCCTCATGTTGTGACACAACCATAAAATTATTTTCGTTGCTACTTCATAACTGTAATGTTGCTACTGTTATGAATCGTAATGTAAATATCTGATATGCAGGATGGTCTTAGGCGACCCCTGTGAAAGGGTCGTTTGACCGCCAAAGGGGTCGTGACCCACAGGTTGAGAACCACTGGTCTAGAGCAGAGGTGGGCAAACTTTTTGACTCAAGGGCCACAATGGGTTCTTAAACTGGACCGGAGGGCTGGAACAAAAGCATGGATGGAGTGTTTGTGTGAACTAATACAAATTCAAAGTAAACATCATTACATAAAAGGGTACGGTCTTTTTTTTTTTTAGTTTTATTCATTTCAAACGGTCCGGATGCAGCCCGCGGGCCGTAGTTTGCCCACGGCTGGTCTAGAGGCTCAGTCTGTTATAGAGCAAGATCTCAATTTGTTGCTCTGTCACCTAGGATGTCATTGCCCCATACTAAGAGGGAGCCTTATACAAGAAAACTCATTGTGGTTATTCACAAATTAGGAAGCTCTATGGGAAAAGTTTATTTAAAATAGGAAATTTTGAAGACCATGTTTATGTATGTATTTATTTGTTAATCATCACTCGATTGATTTTTAGAGAGAGTGGAAGGGTCGGGGGGTTGGGGGGAGAAAGAAACATCAGTGTGAGAGAGACACATTGGTTGGTTGCCTACCACAGATACCCCAACCAGGGCTGGGAATCGAGTCTGCAACCAAGGTACGTGCCCTTGACTGGAATCGAACCCAAGACCCTGTAGTCCGCAGGTCAACACTCTTATCTATAGAGCCAAACTGTCTGAGGCTATTCTTATGAAGAATATAAGAACTCATGGAACAGGACCTTTTTAAGCTACGTTTTAACTTTTATTTAAGAGTTAGAATATTGTATGCCAAAATTCAAGGTAACCCTCAGTGACTAATGAGGACATGTTAAAAAGACTCTGGAACCTGTTTGAAGAGGCTCACACTGGCCAACTTTGGGACAATTCAGTGATCAAAAAATAAAATGGTCCTAGCCGGTTTGGCTCAGTGGATAGAGCGTCGGCCTGCGGACTCAAGGGTCCCAGGTTCAATTCCGTCAAGGGCAGGTACCTTGGTTGCGGGCACATTCCCTGTAGGAGGTGTGCAGGAGACAGCTGTTCCATGATTCTCTCTCATTGATGTTTCTAACTCTCTGTCCCTCTCTCTTCCTCTCTGTAAAAAATCAATAAAATGTATTTTGAATAAATAAATAAACAAAATGATTGATTATAAGTCTTGAATAAGTAAAAACAAGATTTATACTTAAAAAAAATGAAAAAAAATCTCCCCAGTTACTACCATTGGAAAGGCTCTTACACCAAATTATCCTGAAAATTTGTTAAAAGGGAAGAAATTTGTCTTGCCTTTTTTGAGGGAGGAACTGTAATTCATTCTCAATTGATGAGAGAAACAGTGCCAACTAATAAATCTTGAAGACATAATTTGAATTAGTAAATCACCATTTTGTGACCCTCAATGAGTAATTCAGGCAAGGATCATTAGGCGAAAGATTGGTGAGGGACAGGATATTTCCGGGATGCCTAAATAGCCTGCCCAGATTCTAATTGTAAAGGGTCCGCTGTTTTTAGAATAGAGTAACCTGATTGTCTCCTTCTTATCCCTGAAATCAGCACAGCCTCACTGATCGTGGGTTCACCTGCATTAGGTGCTCACATGAAGGCAGTCTGACATTGTCACCATTATCATCACCTGGAAAGGATACTAGCAAAGCATAGCCGGAATCCAGTCCTTGGACTTCCTGTTTACAGGAAACATAGGAGGTGAAAGTACAAATTGGACACCTTAAGCACAATCTAAAAAATGCAGATTGTGGAATATTCTATAAAGTGACTGCCCTTAATCTCTTCAGAAGTTATTGGGTGAGTGGGAGTAGGTAGTGGGAAGGACTGTTCTAGATTACATAGGCTAGCGATAAATACTGTGCATGCAACTTGGTTGGATCTTGGTTAAAGAGGAGAAAAGCTATAAAAGATGTTTAGAAAACCCAAATATGGAATTTGTAATAGATAGGATTTATTAAACTTCTTAGGTGAGCTAAGGTATTGTGGGTATTTAGGAGATCCTTCATACATCAGACCTTGCTACTCAGAGTGCGGTAGATGGATGCATAGCATTGACGTCATCAGAGAGATTGTTAGAAAAGCAGAATGTCAGTCAGATACCTCCTCTGACAAACAGAATTAGAACCTGAATTTTAACAAACTATCAAGTGATTCATAGACACATTAAGTTTGAGAAACACTGTTTTAGGACATGCATACTGAGTTATTTAGAAGTGAAATGTCATGATATCTGTAACTTACTTTGAAATGATTCCACAGAAAAAAAAATGGAAGAGCAAAGAGAAGGAGGAAGGGATAGATAAGCAAATATGGTAAAATATCAACAATGGTAAAATCTAATTAGTGCAATGTAGTTTATTAGTTGTATTATTCTTTTCCTATTTCTGTAAAGAAGGTTTCATAATAAAAACAGGGGTGACTAGGAAGTACGTCTCATGGAACTTGACCGAATATATTGCCCAGGAAACATATTTGTGAAAGCTAAACAATATTTGTGAGCAGTGGAAGTCCTCTAAGTGGCTCAAAATTATTCCTGAAACTCTACTTTTCTCACTTATTAATAGGAACATAGCTATGTATTATGATTATACTAGAGGCCCGGTGCACGAAATTCATGCACTGGGGTGGGGGGGAGGGTCCCTCAGCCCAGCCTGCATCCTCTCCAATCTGGGACCCTTCGGGGGATGGCCGACTGCCTGTGGGATCAGGCCTAAACCGGCAGTTGGACATCCCCCTCACAATCCAGGACTGCTGGCTCCCAACCACTCACCTGCCTGCTTGCCTGATTGCCCCTAACTGCTTCTACCTGGAGCCTGATCACCCCCTAACTACTCCCCTGCCAGCCTGATTGATGCCTAACTGATCCCCTGCTGGCCCAGTTGCCCCCAACTGCCCTCCTCTACCGGCCCAATCACCCCAACTGCTCTCCACTGCTGTCCTGGTCACCCCCAACATCCCTTCCCTGCAGGCCCGATTGCCCCTAACTGCCCTCCCCTGCAGGCCTGGTTGCCCCTAACTGCCTTCCCCTGCAGGTCTGGTCCCCCCCAACTGCCCTCCCCTGCAGGCCTGGTTGCCTCCAACTGTCCTCCCCTATCAGCCTGGTTGCCCCCAACTGCCCTCCCCTGCTGGCCTGGTTGCCCCCATCTACCCTCCCCTGCTGGCCTGGTCGCCCCCAACTGCCCTCCCCTGCAGGCCTGGTTGCCTCCAACTGTCCTCCCCTATCAGCCTGGTTGCCCCCAACTGCCCTCCCCTGCTGGCCTGGTTGCCCCCATCTACCCTCCCCTGCTGGCCTGGTCGCCCCCAACTGCCCTCCCCTGCAGGCCTGGTTGCCTCCAACTGTCCTCCCCTATCAGCCTGGTTGCCCCCAACTGCCCTCCCCTGCTGGCCTGGTTGCCCCCATCTACCCTCCCCTGCTGGCCTGGTCGCCCCCAACTGCCCTCCCCTGCAGGCCTGGTTGCCTCCAACTGTCCTCCCCTATCAGCCTGGTTGCCCCCAACTGCCCTCCCCTGCTGGCCTGGTTGCCCCCATCTACCCTCCCCTGCTGGCCTGGTCGCCCCCAACTGCCCTCCCCTGCAGGCCTGGTCCCCCCCAACTGCCCTCCCCTGCCAGCCATCTTGTGGTGGCCATCTTTGACCACATGGGGGAGACATCTTGTGCGAAGGCGTGACAGTCAATTTCCATATTACCTCTTTATTATATAGGATAAGTTTTTTGTTTCTTCTAGGACATGTATTACCCTTTTTAAAAACAACCTTTAAAAGGGAATTTTTGAAGTTAGGGAGTATTGCATAACAACTACATGAAATATCTTCTTATTTCAGAGCCTGTTAAACAAAAATAAGTTGGTACTCTATGAGGTGTTAACAAACTTTGCCAGCTCTGTAACTAGCAGTAATAGCTAACACTTGTTGAACACTCACTCTTGTGCCATGCATTGTGTTAAGTATTGAGGAAAGACTAGTGAGCAAAATAAATATGGTTCCTGCCCTTATGTTGTTTACAATCTAGCAGGTAAGAGAAAAATATTTTTGCTTTGTCCTAATTAGTCTTTACATGTTACTTATATCTTATTTTATTTAATTATTAACATTTAACACTATATAAAAACTTTAGAACTATTTTGTGTAAGAGTTTGTTTATATTAGTACATACAAACTGTGTATGACAATCTTTTGATAAAACTAAACATGTTGGTGTATTTTTAAAAAAATATATTTTAATATTATAATTTGTTATTACTAATTAGTCTTTACATGTTACTTATATTTTATTTTATTTAATTATTAACATTTAACATTATATAAAAACTTTAGAACTATTTTGTGTAAGAGCTTGTTTATATTAGTACATACAAACTGTGTATGACAAACTTTTGATAAAACTAAACATGTTGGTGTATTTTTAAAAAAATATATTTTAATATTATAATTTGTTATTACATATAGGTGGATTATAACAGAATAGCCTTTAAAAAAATCTAAACACTAATTATGCATTATGTTTGGCTTCAGGTGGTTACTCTAACAGCTAATGATAAGACAAGTGTTTCCTTCTCCTCCCTCCGGGGACAAGGTGTCATTTATAATGTAATTGTTTGGGATCCAGTTCTCAATACATCTGCTGCTTATGTTCCTGCTCACACATATGCTTGCAGCTTTGACGCAATGGAGGGTAATTGTTCTTCTCTTGGTGAGTATATGGATTTAAACTTTGCAAACTCTTCTTTGACTTTGAAGATCTATATCAACTAATATAGAACTTAAGAACATTGAAAATGTTTTGTGTAGTATTCATTCATTCATTCATTCTACAGATGCCTCTTAAGCCCCTACACTACTCCACTCTCTGCTCTCTGTTCCCAGCACTGGAAGATAGCAGTGTGTGTGTGTACTTAACATTTTATTTTGAAATAGTTTCATGGAAAAGATGAAAAAAATAGTAACAATGTCTGTATAATCTTCACCCAGATTCTTCAAATGCTAGTTAACATATTTTGCTATTTGCTTTTTATTCTGTTTACTAGAGGCCCAGTGCACAAATTCATGCATGGGTGGGGTCCAGCTGGCCCGGCCCAATTGGGGCGGATGGGGGCTGGGCCTGTTGGGAGGAGGAGATGGCAGGAGATTGGCTTGCTGGCCTGCCCCTATTGGGGCCAATCTGGGCCGGACTGGCTGGGGGGAGGGGCCATGGGCCATTGGCCCCACCCCCAATTGGGGTAGGGGGGCTATTTGGGAGTGGGGTCAGCCATGGGGAGGCACTGAGGGCAGTGGACCGGCTGGCCCTGTCCCTGATT